TGTTTGTTTCCTTTTGTTTCTTACGCCATAACCTCGCCGCTCTGTAGCCTTGACCTGCCTTACAGAGGGCGATCGTTTCACCGGACAGTGTTGTGCCATATGTCCGGGTTGTGAGCGGGACAGGCAATTTGGTCGACCATCAGCCGTCCACCGGAGCGATGGACCGGCAGGTCGCGGCTGTCCAACCTGTCTCTGTTTTGTCCCGTTTTTGTCCTGATTCTCTGCTGTTGGCCTGCTTTCTAACCTCTCCAATCGTTGGTCAACCTTATCCAGGTGAGCCAACAGTTGAGCCATCATGGTTTCCACCGTGCCGGTCCCTGTGGGTGGGGATTGTTTCTGTTCCGGCACAGAGACTTTGTCTACCGAACAGTTCGATTGGTCCTCATCCTCGGACCTGCGGATCGCTGAGTTCCTGACCTGAAGGAAGGTCAACTGCGTGTCTTTGTAGACCTCTTCTTTCAAATATCTTCTTGACATAGGGGTCGCCAGCCCCTCGATGAAATGGTCCCTCAGCAGGCGCGCATCCATGTCGGGTATTTTGCCTTTTACCGCTTCAAAGGCCCCGTTCATTCGGTGTGAATACTCCATCACACTCTCCGCCATTCTCTGCTTCAAGCCTACTAACACCGTTAGCAGTTGCGAACCCGACCGTCTCTCCCCAAAGGTCTCCATAATCAGATCCAGCACCTTATCTGGATCTGATTGGATGGTTTTATCGTGGCATTTTACCTCTGCCCTGACCGTCTCTCCTATACTTCCCATCAGCAGTCTTAATCTTTCCTCTGGTGACATGTATCTTGAGGCCCAGGCAGCCCTGACCTCTTCACTGAACCTGTTGGTTAAGGTTGGATCACCGTCCCCGTAAAATTTGTTGATGTGGGACTCACTGGGCAGGACCACAATATGGATCGGCTTTTTGTCCACATTTTGTCCTGGTCCATCTGGAGGCAAAGGGTCATCTTTACCGTTGCCTATCTTATCTGACTCAGATTGTTGGGCCAGCAGGAGTTTTTGTTCCTTTCCGATATCTAAAATATCACTCCCGCGTCTGCCACTCACACTAAGGAAAAATGTTGCAGCTATGCAGCAGATAGTGTTGCCCAAAAGGGAGATCATGACACATTTCCAGTGTCCAAGAGTTACATCCATATCTTGGTTGCCATCTTTGCCCAGTATTTGTCCAACAACCCAGTTGGAGATACCAATGACAATTATCTGGATGCTGGTGGTCAGCCCCATAGCTGTCCCCAGGGTAGTTGGTGCTACAACTAGGGGTATACTGAGCCACATGCTTGCAGCAGCAAAAGAGCATGTGACACCAAGCCAGAATGATAATGAAAGGTGTCTCATCTCTGTTCTTTTCAATTTCCTCGATTCTGATTTCAGTTTTCCCTTTTATTTATTTCCTTCAAATAAAAAAAGACGTTTCTTACCGTGTGTGTATGAAAAATTTTCCTCGTTCCTCAATTTTCACTGTTCCTGAATGTTCGAATTCACACACACGAAACACAGTTATGAACAAGGTTGACTATGGGTGCCTAAAGCGGCAAGTCTAGTTGAATTCATCCTGTCCGCAGCGCCAAATGTAACGAGAGTATCCTGCTCGCAGAGCCAAATGTAACGAGACTATTTGCCTGTAGTGCCAAATGTTAACGAGTTCTGCTCGACAACGCCAAATGTTACCGAGTCTAACCACTCATTCTACACAACATCGACCACAGTATAGATACTCGAAGATGCAGGTTCGCTATTGATCCTTTTATTACATGAATCAAAGAAATGCTTCACAATAATATACTGAATCAAAAGGAATGCTTCACAATAAGAGTTTGAATCAACTGACTCCCAACAGTCCTCACTAGTCTTCATATAACTGAATACACATGTCTATCGTCCTTCTTAACACAATATAACCAACTTGATACTGCCACACAGACTGACTGATCGAGAGAGAGAGAGACTCAGCCGTCGCCTTCCTTATATCCCCCTCGTATCCGTAGTCGTATTCGGTTCTATCATAATCGTAATCGTAATCGATTCTAATCGTTACATCAGAATGTTAATTACGCCGCTTCTGTCGTACAGTCCGATTTAATATAACATCTGCACTGTTTCGTCAGCCAAATCGTGTCAAAGTTGACAGCGCTTGTCGTATCCTTCCAAACTACGCCGTGGCTTTATGATCGTTATCAGTTGGCTTATCAGTCCAACACCTGCACTATCGCGTTCTCAACAATAGTGACTAGTAACTAGGCCCACCCTAGTTACATATATATATATATATATATATATATATATATATATATATATATATATATATATATATATATATATATATATATATATATATATATATATATATATATATATATATATATATATATATATATATATATATGGCGGGGCGCCAAACTGAATGATCGCCCCGGGCGCCGGGAGGGGTCGCTACGCCTCTGGCCTACTGGACGTTGGTGTACGAGTTTACCCCCCTGCGATCAGTGGGGGGGGGGGGGTAGAAGATAAGGACAGAAGCGACCTATACGATAATCAAACCGATATCCAGGTAGTCGGAGTTAGCCGTGTTAAGGCCTGCCTGGCTAATAGGAGACACTTTCTGAGCCGCTGTTATCCTTAAATAAAAAACAAAAAAATAAATAAAAGTTAGCTTCTAAAGTGGATTGGGATAGTGCTATAATTATATTATTTGATTACTAAGTTTATTGTTTTGGCGAAACACGTGTGTTTTTTATATGAATAAATATTATTTCATATTTACAGATATTTATTTTAAATAACAAATAAAATGTTTTTAACTAATCCTAATCAAATAATAAAATATTGAAAAAAATTGTTAGTGGCTCTTTAAAAACTGGTAAATTTTGTAAATTGTAACTTGTAATTCTTCCGTCTCAAAGAGTTGCCGACAAAAAAGTATTTAACTAATCCTAATTAAATAATAAAAAATTGAAAAAAAATTGTTAGTGGCTCTTTAAAAACTGGTAAATATTGTAACTTGTGGTTCTTCCGTCTCAAAGAGTGGCCGACAACAATCGGGTGAGCAAGTGCGCCTTCTATCGCTAGACCTCGCTGTACCTTAGCAATAGCCTTCACCAGCTGTAGACAATAGTTTCTAAAAACGTAAGTAACGACAACCATGTTTATTCTGAATTACCTGTGCACACCTTGTTACGTACCTTTAACGACACTTAATTAACGAACGCCTTTGGAGGAAATATGTACTGTAGATCTAATTTTAGACTTTCTTTCTGACAAATGTTGTGTGGGTGAGGAGGGGGGCTTGAAGCACGTTCAACGCATCCCCCCCACCCCCGAAATTTAAGTGCTTATTCTACGATAGTTTTAAGTGGACACAATATGAAGTTTTCACAATTTCTTGGTTTATGTAGCACTACCTTATTCCAGAGTCTCCTTGTTCTTGCATAAAACATTGAACTATAAATCCAGTTCTTCATTAGACTAGTGCTTATTTTCTGAACGACCACAGGCCAAATTAAAACAATATTCATACCAGGAGTAAAAGGATCCATTTAAACCTACACGACGCTTCACAAAATCTGTATATACTATACAAGAGTTCAATAGATGTAAACTTACAAATCGAATGAACGTAATTTTATATTAAAGTTCATCATCATCTTCTTCTTCTTCGTTCTTAAATCTAGTGTTGGAAGAGATTCCCTCCAACACAGTGTCAACTTGTTATGCGCATTATTGGCCATTGACTCCAATTTTAGCTTGCTTTTCTTTTTGGATTTGCTTTCATAGCTTTGTCCAACCAAGAACAAACTACAAGGCAGCAGTTGTTTGATTTTTTTTTGGATTTGCTTCCATAGCCTTTGTCTAACCAAGAACAAACTACAAGTTAGCAATTGTTTGATTTTGGAGTTGTCTCTCCTAGATGAGTGGCCGTCCCCAGCTATCTAACCTCACGGATTAGAACGAAGGACTTTTCGGTTCAGCAACAATGAGCTTAACTAAAACCACCCCGCCGACCTCTAAGTTCATCTCAAATATTACTCTTTGCAGATCACTTCACAGCAGCTTTACATCTGAAGACTAACAAAGCATATTTCTTTCTTTAACTGTTCCAAAAGTATCATTATCAATTAATTGCTGTTCGATAGTAACACATTTAACGAATAACAAGTCGAAGTGAACTTAATTCACCGTCTTTAGCTCCGATTTGAACCATCTGAAAACTGTTATTAAAACATTTAATTTTACTCTTCGTGCGTAAGTCATTTTCTCTTTTTTTTCCGTAATCATTAATGTCATTTTTTTTCTAAACAATGTTTCCAAATGCTATGAGAATTTAAAAATAACAAAAAAGAAAAAAATCCAAAACTGGTAATGTTTATTTTACGCTTTCTTCAAGAACACTAAAAACTAAATTACCTTAATACGTGTCGGATAAATAATACCTAACTATCTCGATTTTTTTCTTTGATAATTATGTAAAAGCACTGCCGATATTATAATTATATAATTAAAAGCTAAGAGCAATACTTAAAATGTAATCAACTCTAAGATTAGATTTAACAAGGATTCTCGTCTGTTCGAGCATTGAATTAATTCCTGTTCGTGTAGGATATAATTACAGGTATAATGTTGGAAAAATTAAATCTTACTTTTTTTTTACTAATCATATAAAATGTCGCAGTTATTTTCATGGAAATTAAACCCCTTCTCTTTATTCTTCCTTTTTGTTTTCATTCAAGTTTTAGAACTTTCTGGGGAAAAAACGTTTTACATCCAACTTAAAGAGTTTGTTTAATCCAATTTTTTTTAGTTATGTCATTATATATTATTAATAACTTCAATAATTATGAGCAACGTTTAAGTGAAGAAAATTGTTTCAGTTGCAAAAATGTTTAAAGGGAATAAATTACGCCGTTGGTTAAAACGCGATAGTTGTTGTAAAGTATACTGAATTTAGGATTAAATTTAAGACTATTTCTGCTAGCTGAGGTAAGGAGACCATGAGTTTGATTTACAGTGTTAATATCACGTTAGCTGATGTACCTATAGTTGACAACACCTTGTACCCCATCCTCATCAACATCATCGCCAACGTTTTAACCGTCTTAGTTTCAATCTTCGGGATCTTGACCAATGCGGTCAACATATTGATCTTCCTGCGGCAAGGCTTCATTGACCAGGTCAACATAACCTTACTGGCCTTGGCCTTGTCTGACCTTCTGGCCCTGATGGCCATTTCCGTCCCGACCCTCGTGTTTTTCATGGCCTACAAGTTGTTTGACGTCATCCTATACTCGGGCGAGATCTCATACATTACGGCAGGGACGGTGCACCTGATCTTCGTTAGAGTGACTGGTTGGCTGACGGCTTTCATCACGTTTGAGCGATGCCTTTGCGTGACGTTACCCCTGCACGTGAAATCCCTTTTCACGAAACAACGCGTCACGTGCGTCGTCGTAACCATTTACGTGTTCAGTTTCGCCTGTTTGGCGCCTACCTACTACACGACGCGAATTATCTCGAGTTACCTCCCTCAGATTAACCGGAGTTATCTCATCCTGGTGTACACCGACGATCGAGCTATCATTGATCACGTGACGTTTATCGTCGGCAACGTATTCCCCGTCATGGCGTCTTTCTCCATCGTCGTGCTCAGTACAATCTTCCTCGTTGTTGGTCTCGTACGCTCTACAACGTTTTCAACACATCAAATACAACAACTCACAACTAACAACAAGATTCAGGTCATATCAAGGAAGAAGATTAAGATAATTAAACTGACGTCATCGCTGGCTTTAATCTACATCGTCACGTTCACGCCGACTATAATCTTCACCGTGTGGACGATACGTGATCCTGGGTTCAGCGTGACAGGGTTCAACCGGAACTTCTTCAACGTGGCATTTTCCTTTTCCTTCCTGATGGAATCGCTCAACTCCAGCCTGCATATTTTCCCGTACTATAGTCTGAGTGCTAAGTACAGGACCAGCTTCAGAACGTTGTTTACGTGTTGTCCGGCTGTTCGTGTACCCTAACTTGACATTGGTACCAAGTAGAAAACATGCGTTAAAACTTTATTTTATTGCTTGTGGTCTGATGGTACGATTTTTGTGTGCTTTGGTACAACTGTCTAAGTACTAAGGAGATCAAAACTTAATTTACATATTTTACAGACTTTTAATTTCGACACTGTGGATGTTGTAGTATCTGACTGTAGATATTGTATGATCTGACTAGATGTTGTAGTTACTCTTAAATACATTATACTTTCTGTAAAGAAGGTTTAAAGTTCATTTAATACTGAAAGACTGGCGCTTTTGTTGTGGTTTTTACATGACTCATTTTAAGGATTGGTTATTTAAAAGTTTAATAAAGTTGTTGATATCTTTGATCGTTGTAACAGTAACATTAACGGTTATTAAATTAGGAGCAAAAATATAAAACAAGAAAAGTCTTCAATACTTGCTTATGGTGAAAAATACAATTAGCGGCCCAAGACTTGATTGGGGAAACAATGATCACTACAACAACCTATGTGTGAACTATTTTACATAACATCTGTTTAGCTTCAAAACTAAAGGCTGCATTTGAATTAACAGACGAAATTTAAAAAGTAAATTACTTTACATTTTGTCTGAAACGACATTTTGAAAACAAAATGAATTTTTAGAACTTTGTCCATCATATGGTTCAGATTTTATGTTGAATATCGTTGACTTATTCCCCCTAAGGCAACTTTTGATATGAGTTTAGTGATAACCATTACTTCAACCTGAATTGCACTATACTGGATAAAGGACAACAAAATCAATACAATGATGGAAGCTATTGATTCTTTGATATGTTATACGTGCTGGAATGATTGCTTAACATTTCAAATTAAAACAAGCCATTAAACGATCTGTATTTAAATTAGTTCAAACATTGCACACGTTGCGTTAAAAAATACTGGCATGTCACGTTATCGTGCTTGTATGTAGGACAGAAAAAAGGTTTGTTGAATTACCGAAACCGACAGGAAGTTGTGACTTTAAACATGATACACTACAAACACCGTGGGCTTGTACTTGTATAGTGCTCTGGAGAAAACATGACTGAAACGTGTTTACATTGTTTGTGATATTTTCTATAGTTCTCTGCTCCATTAGTTAAATCGATTTCTGAATTGTTTTAGCTTTCATGATGAATAAAACATAATTTTCATTACCTTTAGTATTATCAGGCTCATTGTAATACTTTAATACCTAAATGTTTTTGACCTTAATGAAGCCACTATTATTTAACAAAGGCTTTTGAAGAGTTTAAATGGCCGTAAACATATAACTATAGTATAATAGAAGTTGAGTTTTTCAATGGTAATGTAATCTATTCAAAACACCCACCTTTTGTATTTACCTTCGGAGGGGGGGGGGGGGGTAGGGGGTGTAAGTACTGCTTAGACAACCATCTCTTGCTAATTTAAAACATTGTAAGTTATTTTTCAATGGGTTATGGGTTAGGTGTTTGGCAAATGTGTGTATCGAGGTTTTTGTTTTCAGTTGAGAGTTACGGTATTCTATCAATATACACTGTCGCGCTATGATAAAGATCGATTTTTAAAGCTTTTTGCACTCATTCCTTGAAAAATTCACATCGCGGTTCAGTAATTATGAAAGGTGGTGTCTCAAAATTAACAAAAATACTGACGTCAGATTTTCTTGACAACTGTTGTTACCGTTATTGAATAAAATGAATAAATTGAAATTGTGTTTCGACTTCATATAGTTTCGAATCAGACCAATATTTTACAGCATCCGAATTAACAATCCAGACCAAGCCTATAAAATACCATCAAACTAATTTCGTGAAAATGTTTGTTCATTGACACAAAAATAATACCTTAGATATGAACGTTAGCACTCCCTGTTGTAGAAAACAAATGATGTTTAACTACTTCACGCGTTACTACTTTGATAAATACATTACTATTAGCAAAGACGTTTCATTTCTATGAACTCGTCACACTACCAACGCTTTCTAGATTGTGTATTACAGCTACCTAACATATACATAAAAATGTTAACTTAGGCAATACACTATCTAGTTATACGTTTAGTCCCTGCTAAATATATCTATGTTACCCTTGGTGCACAATTTTAGAACCAGTGACATTGTAACCAAATGTCAATACACTTGTCACAAAACGCGAGGCCGATAAAAGTGGTCAGCCTAATGTCACATTCACCAGTCAAGTTTTGAGTGATTAGTGTAAATTCCCGATTAAAGTGACAGACAAATTGTGTTTAAATGTGTTATTCTACAACATGACTGTAAGCTGATTTCCTTTTGATCTTAAGTTCTTGGATTTTAAAACCAATACACTATTTCAATAGCATACAAAGGAATAAGTATGTGGAAAACTTTATAGATTCACACACATCCTTAGTGTGATATGCTTCTAAGTTGATTAGAAGAATGAAAATAATGATATTAGATGGGTATTTAAATATAAATCCTGCAAGTCTTCTTTAAATATAATATTCCACGTTTTCCGGAAACATTAAACTTTGAATTAAACTGTGATGCAAGTTATAAGTCTACCAATGAACAACACATCTTTTCCGTCTACCACGATAATTCCAGCAATTAACAATGAACTAGCGGAAATTTTGACCAACATATTGATTTCAATATTAGGAGGGTTCGTGTCTCTCTTTGGGATTGTCACGAACATTATTAACATGATAATATTCGTAAAACAAGGCTTGAACGATAGTGTCAACATAAGTTTATTCAGTTTAGCACTGTCTGATGTTTTATGCTTAGCTGATGGTGTCGTGTTGGCGGTTTGGTTTAGCCCACTGTACGTGCATTCAGCGAGTTACGTAACTTCCAACGAGTTTCATTATTTAATTGGAGGTGTGTTTCACGTGATTTTAGCGCGGATTACCGGCTGGATTACGGCTTACATCACGTTTGAGCGGTGGTTGCGTGTGGCTATGCCAGTCAGGGTTAAAGATATTCTCACCAACAGGAGAGTTACGGTTTGCATGGTGTGTATATTCGTCGTGGTTATCGCATGGTCCTCGCCGGTCTTCTACACCAGTCAGGTCGTGTGGAGATTTGATTTCGCTTCAAACCGGACATATCTTGGGGTCAACTTCACATCCAACCGACGAATCATAGACTCTTTGACCTTCAGTTTAGTCAGCGTCGTGTCTGTGTTTGGCTCTCTGCTCACCGTAATCGCCACAACTACCGCCATGGTCATCCGGCTCACCAAAAACACGAAACGGCGGAAATCAAGCTCTACTTCCGGTAACAACCAGTTCTCCCGGAAAGAGATGAAGATGATAAAAATGGTAAAGATTTTATCCCTGGTCTACGTCGTCTGCTCGGCCCCAGAGGTCGCTTGGATGATCTGGCCTATGGTTGACAAGACCATCATTGTGACAGGACTAAACCAAAATCTCGTCAACGTCACCAACGGCTGTACGTTTTTACTGCAGGCCATTAACTCGTCTATTGGACTGTTTGTCTACTATTTCCTGAGCTCTAAGTACAAGCAGACATTTAGAGAAGTATTCTGTTCTTGTTAAGTAATTAGGTCTAAAACATGTCGACACCGAAGCTCATAGAGAAAATAATACAGATATTCTGTCAAGTTTTAGAAATCAAGTGAATACATATTTTAAATTGTCAATTAATTATTTTCTAAACGACTGCATATTAAATTTATACTTTCTCGTTTACTGCCTATGTGTATGTAAACACGATAACTTAAATACTGTTTCAGTTTGCTTGGCAAAACTATGATATAACATTTGTATTATTTTTTTATCAACTTTTGAGCGATTCTCTGTAACCGTTAATGGTACTTACTCCTATTCAGGTTGCTTAAAAGCCTATAGTTTGCTAATTTTTAAGTATAACTTTGTATGCAAATGTTTCTTTTAACTGTTGAACATTTTTTGTTAAATGGAAGTGGTATGTAACTCTATTTTCGTGGGAACATGATATCTTTAGCACTGTTTATAGTTTCAAAGTTATATTACTTACAAATTTTGAGTGAACTACGATATCTGAAAGTGGTACTTTACTCTATTTACGGTTTCTAAAATACCTAAACGTCAGTAGCGTTTCAATTACGTGTACAAAATTAAATACATAGATATAAGATCTTATTATCTTCATTCTGTATAAATTTGAATGAATTTCGGTGACCGGAAGTAGTAATCTACTTTACTTCTACTAGAAAGATTATTCTCATATTTTCCACGTAGGTAAACCTCAAAGACAATGCACTGTGACATAATTTGTAAATGAATTAGACATCTAATGAACTTTTTAAAAACCAATGTTTTTTTTTACAAAACTTATTGTTTGCTCAATTATATACACATCGTTTACGTTCTTCTTGATAAGCAATTCTTTTTCTACACTATTCTATTTAAAACATGTAAGTATTTAAAAAACATTTTTATTTTACGATTGCACTGTAAGTAGTGTAAGTGCCATCCCCTTACTGTTATAAAAGAATAAACAAGAAATTTAGGAGAGATCACTCCAGCTTAACTTTTAAATGTTAATGTTTTGTTTGTTTAACTTTTTTTTTAAATTTAAAGAAGTGAAAGTTGGAGAAGTCACATTCTTCAGAAATTCAGCAAAGAATAGTCTCAAAATTATTAGCGACACATTAAATATTTTTAAAATCAAGCACGCTGTTATCAAAAATTAAATATGGTTAATAAAACCTGACTGTTTAATTTTTGTTGGACTTTACGATAGATTGGATGTAATTGATGTTTGTATTATTTTCAGTAACTAGATCTAAACAAAATTTATAAAAGCCATTTATTCTTTTTACGCTTTCTTTGATTGTAAAATCTAAATAAACGCATGAAATTTATCTGTCAACAAAAAATTGGAAGTATTCTCTTCAGGTCTGTGATGTCCATTAGTTTTGTTCTAAATTTCAAATTACGTCACATTTTTACCTACATTTTTAAAGACTCACAGGTAATTTAAATTTGGTCATTAATTATAATAGAAAGCTTTCTTTATTTTACAACATAAATGTGTTTAAAAAATTATAAGTGCTTTAGTAAAGAAAAGTAAACAAGAGGCAGAATACAGCAATTAAAAAAATATAACGTTCAGATAATACGCTCAGTTTTTATTAACTCTCTAAAAAAATTAATAGTGCTCCCAGTGTGATTCTGCCTTTATTTAACCGTGTTATCTAAGACAAAATTTGCAGTCCAAGTTTTCCTCATAAAGACAACTCGTCCAGGTATAAGAATCTCAACTTGACATCCCAGCCCCACCGCCATCTTGTCTTTGTTGTAGGATAGCCGTACCACGGGCGAGACATTGAGCTGTAGACTGTGCAGGAGAACACAGCAATAATACAGGTGTAAGGTGGTCTCCAGGTGCACACACAGGGCTACAGGCATAACCACAGTATTGGCGGGATCGTATGGATCAGTTGATGTTAGGCTACAGGCATAACCATAGTATTGGCAGGAGGTTATGGATCAGTTGATGTTAGGCTACAGGCATAACCACAGTATTGGCAGGAGCTTATGGATCAGTTGATGTTAGGCTACAGGCATAACCACAGTATTGGCAGGAGCTTATGGAGTAGTTCGTGTTAGGCTACAGGCATAACCACAGTATTGGCAGGAGCTTATGGATCAGTTGATGTTAGGCTACAGGCATAACCACAGTATTGGCAGGAGCTTATGGATCAGTTGATGTTAGGCTACAGGCATAACCACAGTATTGGCAGGAGCTTATGGGTCAGTTGATGTTAGGCTACAGGCATAACCACAGTATTGGCAGGAGCTTATGGGTCAGTTGATGTTAGGCTACAGGCATAACCACAGTATTGGCAGGAGCTTATGGATCAGTTGATGTTAGGCTACAGGCATAACCACAGTATTGGCAGGAGCTTATGGGTCAGTTGATGTTAGGCTACAGGCATAACCACAGTATTGGCAGGAGCTTATGGGTCAGTTGATGTTAGGCTACAGGCATAACCACAGTATTGGCAGGAGCTTATGGATCAGTTTATGTTAGGCTACAGGCATAACCACAGTAGTGGTATAAGCTAATTGATAAAAGGTAATGTTTATTTCAGGTTACGAGTTTTAAAATATTACATTCTATTTTTAACTTGACAAAGGAAAGTATAACAAATTCCACAAGAGAATGATAACGGGTAAGATCTTTTAAAATATTTTTCATTTATCGTATCTCAGACAATGTTAAAAGAATTTTCAATGCAAAGAACTCATCCTTGAAAATAAAAGTCAAGTCCTCGGCACAAATGAAGGCGTAACGGTAATAGACGCATCATCTTTAAACACACGCCAACAAATGTTTATCAAAGATGACAAAACTACTTTTAAAAACAGATGCTGAAGGTTTGAGTTTACAAAAAAGCACAAATTAGGTTTTGATTAGTACGCGTTCACTGAAAATTGCGATCAACACAACTCAATAGCAATAACCCTACTGATTCTAAAATGTTTTAAGATTTTTAAAAAAGAACTTTCAAAATCCCAATAATTTACAAATTTGAAAAGCTTTTATTCAATTTACACCTTGTCTTCGCTAAGCTTACGCTCCGGTGATTATCAATTTATAAACATATCGATTATTTGTTTCGTGGAGTTGAATTGTATGAGTCAGAGTTTTGTATAGGTTTGTTTTCACAAAGAGACAGTTTTTGTTAAACTTGGGTGCTCTGCAGTCTTGTAAAATATTTCGTCATGAATAATAAATGATACAAAACTACTGAAATAATAGATGGATAAACACTTTAACTATCAGATGCAACAACCTAACGAAATGTGATAATGCTTCGAAAAATGTTTTAAGTGGGCCTAGCGTGGATGTATACTGAAGTAAATAGGCCGTATTATCACGGGGTTATTATGGAAATTTTTTGTCTGGGTTGAAAGTGGGAAAAAATTACCTCCCATCATCGAAGAAAGAGTAAATATTGTAAGGGTTTAATAAATAACACCGATTATCAAATAGTTTGGAACAAATTATATCTTACACATAAAAAACACGAGCCAGATGCTTTAGACGAGTAAAAAAGTTTGTTTGAAGTCGTGGTAATCTAGACTCGAAATGTTTTTTTTTATTATACCTTTAATGTTTTAAAGTTCTAAACAAAGTGTAATAATATAAGTCTACCTGCCGTAACAAAAAAAAAAATAAAAAAAATAATAAAACACTTTAAGAACTTACAAGCCATTGGCCATTTTACGTAAAAAAATGTAATTACAATGTTTAAACAGAACAAACCCAAAAGTCAGTTTTAAGCAAAAGTACAACAGATAATGTTTACACTTAAAGTTGTGAGAAAATGTCTCAGTTTAATTACCTCATCATCACCATCGAAAATCTGCTCAACGTATAGTATTTGTGAAACATAAGGTAAACTACTACGTAAGCCTATTTGTTTAACCGATCACTTACCTGACACTTTTTAAGTACATCCCAAAATGAATTTCACAAATTACTTCGAAAATCGGCCAATTAATTACATGGATTTGGATGAAATGACTTACATAGTTTTAACGATTACATTTCTTATTATTCTGGGAACTTTTCTCACTGTATTCGGTATTCTCACAAGCATAATTAACATGATCATCTTTTTAAAACAAGGTTTAAAAGACAGTGTGAATATAAGTCTCTTTAGTCTTACTATAGCCGACCTGTTGTCGCTAGTCATGCTGGGGCTGTTGACGGTGTGGTACAACCCTTACTACTATAGCTCGGATGTGTGTACCGTGTACGAGACTTTTCGTTACATCGTGGGCGGTGTTGTTCGCGTCACGTTCGATCGGGTCCGTGGCTGGATCACGGCGTTCATCACCTTCGAGAGGTGCCTGTGTATCGCCATGCCGCTCAAGGTCAAGGCCGTCCTCACCAACAAGCGCGTGGCCGCCACGATGGCGCTCATCTTCCTGCTGGTGATTGCTGGCACCCTGCCCGTCTTCTACTCCAACCGTCCAGCGCTGAGGTTCTACCCCAAGTTGAACCGGACACTGTTCGGGATCTATTACAGCTGGGACAGCGACCTGGTCGACAACATCACCTTCATGTTCAACATCGTCATCTCCACCTTCGGCTCCTTCATCGCCGTCATCGCTTGCACGGTCGTCATGGTGACGGAACTAAACAAGAAAACAAAATGGCGTCAGAAATCAGCCACCTCGAAATTCAACTCAGGCAAATCTAAAATTTCTAACAAAGATGTCAAAGTTGTTAAAATGGTCAAACTTCTCTCGATGGTGTACATCGTCTGCGCTGTTCCAACTTTTGTCGACACCCTGTGGTCAATCTTCGATTCAGAATTCTCTCCCTTCGACGTAAATCGCAGACAAAAGTTATTCCTTGTATTTTTTACCTTTAACTTCCTTTTGGAGTCTTTTAACTCGAGCTTAAGCATCTTCGTGTATTATTTCATGAGCTCCAGATTCAGGCTAACGTTTCAGAATTTATTTCCATTTTTTAATTTTCGGAAAATTCAAGATTACTAATAAATCATTTATAGGATAAAAATGTTGAGTTTTTA